ACAGATGTTCACAGTGAGGAGTCGAACAAGAAAATGGATTACAGAACGTAACATCGCTTGGTTTCAATATAAAACGAACCGGACCGACGAACACTGGGAGTCGTACCGAAAGTTGCGGAATAAAGTCACGTCACTAATCAAGGAAGACAAACTACAACAGCAATTCAAATTGATGACTAGGATGGAGAAAAACCCCAAACTATTGTATCAATTCGTGAATGCGCAGGCTAAAGTTAAACCAGGTATATCTGCCATAAAGACAGAATCGGGAATGACTGCAAATGCGTTTGAAACAGCTAATGCCCTTGCCACATTTTATGCTTCCGTGTTTTCTCCTGAAGATACCCGCGCTCCTATACAAACTGTGGAGGTACTAACGGACGAAACTTTATCGGACGTGCATATTGATCGGGCTAACATTGTCAAACACCTTCGCGGCTTACAGGTACACACTTCACCTGGTGGGGATGGCGTTACACCACTGCTTCTGCGCCACTGCGCTGAACCACTTAGCTATCCTCTGGCTAAACTGTTCGCTAGTTCTCTGGAAGAAGGGTTGGTACCAGAGGATTGGAAATGCGGGATAATAGCCCCCATATTCAAAGGAGGTATCAGAACGTGTGCATCTAACTACAGACCTGTCACTCTTCTCCCAGTAATATCAAAAGTAATGGAACGAATTATAGCAGAAGCCCTGAAATCGCACCTTGAAATTCACTCCTTGTTGAGCGATAAACAACACGGATTTCGACAGAATCGTTCTTGTTTATCCAATCTCCTCGTGACACTCGATGACTGGACACGAGCAGTCGATGCGGGAGTTACTGTACATGCCTGTTACTTGGATATATCCAAAGCCTTTGATCGAGTCGATCACAGTATCCTTCTTCGGAAACTTGAAATGTATGGCGTGACGGGAAATCTGTTGAGCTGGCTGAAAGACTATTTGAGTGACCGTTCGGTCCAAGTTCGTGTCGATGGAGCGTTTTCCGATAAAATTGCCGCCACAAGTGGTGTCCCTCAGGGTTCGGTTCTTGGTCCAATTTTGTTCCTGGTATACATGAATGACCTGCCGAAACTTCTGCAGTGCAAAACCGTACTTTTTGCTGATGACATAAAAATCTGGTCTGAAATTCATGGAAAGGCTGATTGTGATGCGCTACAGCAAGATCTGCAAAGAATCGACGAATGGTCCATCCAAAACCGGCTGCCGCTGAATTTCCAGAAATGCAAACTCATAAATCTGGGGAAGAGCTACCACTTCCCATACAAACTGGGATCCAATGAACTGGAATGGGTGGCTGAGGAAAAAGACCTCGGCGTCTGGATTTCTAGCAACCTGAAGCCGAGTAAACACTGTCTATCAGTATATCGCAAGACCTCGGCACTGCTCGGGATGCTTAGGAGAATATTTTATCGTTTTACGCCTGAAATTCTCCCTATTATCATGAACACATATCTCCGGCCGACAATGGAATACGCGATCCAAGCCTGGTCTCCATGGCTGCAAAAGGATACACAACTGCTAGAGCGTATCTACCACCGCGCGACCAAGCTGGTCATTGGCCTCCGAAACGTTCCCTACAGTGAAAGGCTACGTAAACTCGATTTGTTTGATTTAACTTATCGGCGTATACGAGGAGACCTCATCCTGATGTTCAAGATAATAAACACCCCTAATCACCCTTTAAAACATTTGTTCACAGTTAATTTGGCCCGACAGACCCGACGGAATCCATTGGCCGTTGACATTCCATGTTCCCGCATTAACTGTCGGCGCTACTTTTTTTCAGTCCGCGTATCCCTCACGTGGAACAAACTACCAACATCTGTTGTGGATTGTGGTAACCTCGAGACTTTCAAACATTCGCTTGACGAATACATAAGATCTCACCCAACTTCCCTCATCAACATTTGAGATGCAGATTACAAACAATAGAACATATATGTCATATCATTCCGTTTATCTGTATACATACACACACACCAATATCCTTTGGTCATTGTAAAGCAAAATGCTTTTTAGACCAATATAACCTTGATTTACCTTGATTTACCTTGATTTACGTTGTGGTGATGATAAAGTCCAAGCTTGCAAAACAGCACAATTCCGAATCAGCACGAGTACCGGTAACACAAGTAGAACTTATTTGCCACGGACGACCTCTTACTGAAGGCATTCTAATATGGTACGGTTGAACACCGGAGCCAGTTAGGCATAGTTAGCGGTGAATATTTCTACTTAGTTCTTGATACTGGTATCATGCAAATCAGCCAACCTGTAAGACGTTTCTCGAGTTGCGGAAATTCGAATACGGTTATATCTGCTGATTCGCCGGCGTGTGGTATCTGCTGCTGACCCGCTACAGCGCCTAGTGTCAGCGAGAAGAAAGCTCACGGACGGGAACACAATAGCTATATTCCAACGAATTGGTTGAGAGAGCGCGAGTGCGTGCGAGTGCGAAAAGTACAACGGCCTCAAGCTTTTGTTGGAAGGACACTGCCTGAACGTTGTCCAATGCTGACGCACACCATTTGGCTTTAATATGAGGCAGCGACGTGCTGCATATTGCGGAGGCGTTGTCTGTTCTCCATCAACGCTGACTCACGCTGTCTGGGATAGATGCAAGGCTATGACGCGCTGCATATTGAGGGGGCGTTGTCTGTCTAGTCAACACCCAGAGGAGTTGAGAGTCTCCGTATATTCCGGGCATTCACTGGTTGCTTTCAGGAAGCTGACCTTCCTGATAAATACACGTGGGAAACGTTAAAGCTTAATACACTCTAATAATCTTTTGACCGATTGTAACTTACCTGAGCGTGGTCCATCCAGCAATGCCACTTGGTCCCGACGTCTCTATGGCAAACAGTCTCAGATGCTCGTGCTGAGGTTTATGGATATGAATATTTCGTCGTCAGCTTTGAATAATATAAAACCCGAATGAATTATCCACTATTTTGATGGCTTCATAAAATCTTCCTTTTCTTCTTACAACCCTGGAAATTTGTACAAAAATGACAAAAGGGATAATTGACCTATCGCTGTGTGTCAGTGTCACTGAACGGCAAAATTCTTGGTATTCAAAATAAGCATTAATGGGTCAAACTCAGCTTTTCACCTTTTTGAGGCTTTCATGTATGCCATTCAGTTTGGCGCTCAACCTGGCAACAATAGTTGCATGACCACAGTCCATTTAAACTAAGTATAAAAAACCCGTTCTTGAATGAGGTTAACCTACTTCCAATTGAATCAATAACTGAAAAGAGCTTAACATATGAAATAATTTGCGGAATTCGGGAAGCGAATCCGATTAATGTGAGAATATACCGCCACTAGTTCGCAGATTCTGTGGTTGTCGATGTCCGTTCCGTCTGGCAAGGAATTTGTAAAAATTACCGTTCAGTTTGCAGTATTATGTATTTAGTAGCTACAAACCCCGCCCGGTTCACGATTCTTATTCGCCTGTACCTTTGACCGGGACACATATATTTACTTTTCTAAAGCGGCCTGATAACCTCTTTGTTGAACACCTTAAAAGAGGGATTTTCTGGCCGCAGAAATGAGCGTTCATTGCACAACCATCTCAGGCACGTCCGTGTCCATGCGGCCAAGGAACCGTGGTACCTACACCTACAAGCACCCATTCAGGCAACCTGAGACCGTCCACAAGAACGCCAGTGAGATCGGGTGGCACACACAACTTGCAGCGTCACGAAAATGGCACAGTAGAAATTACGTAGTTATCAACTTGGAGCGCAATTTGCACCTACAGCACCCAAGCATTTCATGATCTCCTGCATACCCCTCCGCCAGATCAACGGCTGGCCATCTCTCTGGGTCCGCCACTCTGAAATGGGCATGGAAAACAACACATTTTCTGAAAACCATGGTTAGGCTTGCACAACATATGTCCCAACCAACGTAGCTCATGGTGCTGGACACATTATCTAATGGAGAAGTCGTTTTCTACTGCCCCTTTTGCGGATACACCGACACCAAACCATGGTTCTGAGACGACTGTCGGGCATCTGAAGACGTTTTATTTCCGATGCCCGAACAGGCGAAGTCTCACGGCCATACAACAAAACGGCCCGCACTATAGCTTGATAAACCCGCCCCTTGAGATTCAAAAATACATCAATTTGAAGGCATTGGTATTCCATATTAGCAAACGCATCCCAGTCCTTGCGAATCCGTCCATTCAATTCACCTGTCACACTACAATCGCAACTAATACAATGTTTGACTTACAAAAGCGTTGTACAATCCCTAGTGACTCTTCCTGGATTATAGATGGCGTGTTCAGTAACTACATGCCCGAAGTGCGTACCAAAAGACGGGATGAATATAATCAGTTCATCCGAAAATGCTTCTCTCCTTCGAAGACGAAAGCAATCCTGGCTGCGTAGGTATTTGTCACAGGATATTTGAACTCAAGAGTTTTGGAGATCATCCAGCGTTCGTCTCATGAGTCCATTGATCACGATGTTACATAGGGATGGAATACAAAAATTTGTGTAGGGATTCCTTCGGGGAGCTCGCTGTATACTCTCACACGTCCAGAAGTACGAGAATACAAAGAGCGTATTATGTTCACGAAATGACGAAGCACTTCTTGGTGGCCAAGCGCGTCAAAAATAAGAGACCTATCAACTGAGCTGAATGAGCCTTGAAAATTAAGGGAGACTGGGATTGTGGATCGCTTATACATATGGCGTTGTTTCAGCACTTGACAAGTTGTTAAATTTGGTGAACACAAACCCTACAAGAATTGCCATCGGTTTTGCCGGCTCAGATGTCCGTCCAATAAATAATATTGGCTTATGGCTAACTAATTCATGTTCGCAAGTTGGAATCCGTGCAGTTTGTTGCCGGTAAACGGTCTTGCTCTCAGGAGAATCCCCCTATTTCGTAGAGAGTTTCAGAATGGCTACTTCCAGCGAAATAGTGCACTCTCTCCAAAATGATGTAAAGCGTCGAAAATTTCAAATAAGGCCCGATGCAATTCATCATTCAAAAGGAGTTTGAATATATTACTAAGAAAAATGAGGAAGAAATGTATGTGCTTATATTATGCAATGATTTTCCAATGTTTGCTGCCGAAATCTTTGAAGAGGCACAAATATCCGCAGAAAATGTTTGTTCTCTGATAAAATTCACCTAGTGAGCTTGTGATTTCAAAATGAGTTTCCTGTTTGAAGGATATGAACTGAAATGGATGTGTTGTGCCGCATGAGAGGATTTAAATTCTATTTTAGTGGTTGCAGCACTCATGTGTTTCCTTTCAGGGTGCTGCATCATTTGTTGAAAATATTAAAATATCATGACTTCCGGGTATTCGTCCAACATTTATCTTGTCAAACGTCAATGGAGTTTAACGGTAAAATTTCAGAAAATTACGTTCTCAAACTGTAATCTGATCAAATGTTCAAAGTCAGATTTTGCTAGCTTTACAATTTTCACCGTTTTAATCAATCAGGCTAACTGAATATCCCAGACATCATGGCAACATATGAGCGGGAAGCGGTGGGCTTGTCACCGATTGGTAATGACACTGATATGCTATTTCAGTCACCTCAAAAAACGTGAAAATACTTGAAAACGATTCGACTTACATTGAAGTCTTCAATCTGTAATCGAACGACAACCTTGAGGTGGGAAAATTCTCCAGGTGTAGTTTGTGTTAGTTGGATAGCTGTTTGTGTAATTCACTGAGGCGATACAGTCTGTTAGATCCCATGTTGTGGTGGTGGTTTCTATGCGAAAACAAATGGCTGAAACAACAAAACGATGGCTTCTAATGAGTTTTGAGCAGCGCTAGATGGTGTACAAATGTAAAGACATTCGGAATGCACAGTGTGATATCTCCAACTTTGTTGAACGGGAAGTGTTTGACGTTTGTCAAGGGTGGTCAGTCAGATTACACATTGAACGAAGAAGTAAATTGTGATTCATTTGAGCCTTCAGACCAATTTGTTTCTGTGGAGGAGAATGACGGTGGCTCCGAAAGTTAAATGTTCGTCGGTTTTTCAACTGACATCATTGTGAACGTTTCATCAACAATCAAGAAGACATGAACAGCGCAGCGTCTGTTGGTCTAACAGAACGTCGGGTTTTTTCCAAACTGATTGCTCGATATTAATTAGCAAAACAGATAATGAGATACAAATGAATGAATAAATGAATTTTTTGGGAAGTTGCAAGCTGATTTATAAAGTCTGTTTGAGTGAACCCAAAAACAACTTCCATGTGTATTTTTAAATATACATGAAAAAACACACAAGCGACTTACTATTGGGTGAACGGTCTAAAACGGAATCAAATTCGAGAGGTCATGGCAACATCAACGACACAGGAGGAAAAGCTACGAGTCAAAAATTCGTACGGGAGGAGAACAAAAAGTGGACACCCAGTGTGACCCTCTTTCGAGGAAATCATCTGTAAATTTTGTCAAATTTACAGTTTGCTGGAAAGGATGCGAATGTTCCCGTCATCAGCTTTGTGGAATTTGTGCATGACACACCATGCACCAATATGTATACGTACATGTTGAGTGTTTTAACTAAAAGAATTAGTCAGAAACCATCATTGTAAGGGATGTTA